AATTTTTTTTTAAAATGTTTCAAAATTAATTCCTACATCCATTACAACCATTTGGAGATCTTTCCAAATTCAACATCTGTCATTATATACAATCCAATTAAAAACTGCTTCCATATTGATTCATACATTAATATACAAAATGCAACAATGACTTAGTTGGGGGTATTTTTGGAATCTGAAAAGTACAATAAATCAGATTTTATGCTTAATCAGGTAACTTGTTGAGTTGGATCCTAGTCATGAGTTTTTACTTATACAAATTGGGTATTATTTATAGGAACAAAAAGTGAAGGGTTTTAGGTATGGCAAATTGAATTTGAAGGGTATAAGCCAAATTTACTATTAAAAAAATTTGAATCTTCCCCGACTACTATACACAATAATAGTCAACATATATGGAGACACCAAAATTTATTCATTAAATACAAAGTCCCGTTGATTCAAATTTGGACCCATTTTAAACCTTATCAAGTAAAATATTATTTGTTTCATGAATAAATTTGGTGACTCAAAGCATCATGAATTACTTAAACCTACCGTAATCTGTTGTTTAAGCAAATTGATAAACAGGAGCCAAGTCAATTTTGAGAAAAAATTGCCAATATTAGGTATACGCGGCTTTCTTAAACAACAAGAAATGATGTTGTCAAAAAGTCATATGCCCTAGACAACTAGGTTTAATTCCGAACACATTACTTGACTTTGAGTACTAGTTTAGTTGAGAAGAATTCACCAACTTGTGAATCTTAATATTCACCAACTTAGTGACGAGTATATATATTTTATACACATGATAAACTTTAATATATTTTATCAATTAAACACTGTCAGAATTTTCTAATTAAACACTGCATTCGTGTGGACATAATTGATTAAGTGCTTCGACCTAATTACTATTCACAATAATATTCAACATATTACATACGCGTACTACTATATGGAGACACCAAAATTTATTAATCGAAGACAAAGTCTAAGTTGATTCAAATTTGGACCCATTTTAAACCTTAAAAAGTAAAATATTATTTGTTTTGTGAATAAATTTGGTGACTCAAACCTTAACAAGTAATGCTTATAAAATATTATAAGTATGAGGAGAAGAGGGTCCTTCAAATGAAATGAAGATGCTTCTTTTTCTTTATGTTGAGATATAATTTAAATATATATATGTGAATCATTGAGACTGGGTCAAGACCTTTCACAATCAGTCCCAACCCAAGTCGTCCAAAATAGTAAACACCATGGAAACTTCAGGAGTGAAGTGACCCATTCCCTAGCTAATAATTCTCTCAAAAAGGGTTATTTGCAACAATGGTCCCTCAACTATACCCGTAGTTACAGTTTGGTCATTCAATTCAATTATTAGTTGCAGAGGTCACTCAAGTAGGTGTTTTGTTGCACCATTAGTCCTTCCGTCAAACTCTGTTCAATTTTCCCTTTGTCTCGACTCTTTCAACTCTGTAAATTATACAATCGAAGCTCATTAAATAAATCCAGTCGAAAAATAAAACTCTTTATGCATCCTTTACGACTATATATAATGCTATTAATAATACATATATGATAAAATTAAAATTGTATTGTATGTATTTTGTCATCCAAATGGGCAGGGGAATGTGTTAATTTATTCAATTTTAGTGGTCAGTTTTTCAGAAATTGGGCTTCAAATTTGTATGGATTTCAATCAAGCCTTGATGTTTTTTTCTTGTAAGAAAAAAAGAAAGGAAAAAACGTGTTGAATATCTTGATGATATGTATGACGATGATCAAAAGTTTAAATCTATTGAAACTTTTGGGCAATCCCAAATTAATAATTAATCCCCAGACATAATACTAATCAACTCTAAAGCCGACCCATATAGCCAACCCTTACTAGTTATGTATAGTTAGTAAAATACGGAACGGGAAAAGTATGGATTAAATACGTATGTGTTTTATTCGACAAAGGATTTAGGTTGTTAGTTGATCTAGGTTTTTTTTCAATTGATTTACATGCATCACTTGAAACCTAAAGTTTCTGATACTACAGGGATGGTTTGATAAGTATGAGGAGGCTCCTTCAAATGAAGATGCTTCTTTTTCTTAATTTTGATAAGAAAAATATGTGGTAAATTAATTCAGTCAAAACTGCACCATAGTCAAGACCTATCATAATCAATCATATTAACTTGTTTATTTAGTGGGACATTAGTGGTTCAAAATACTTGTTTAACTTGTTTAATTGTTTAATTAGTGTTTAATCAATCAATTTACAACGTGGGATATATGTTTAATTTGTTTCGAAGTTCATTGCAATGCTTCAAAAAGAAAAAGAAACACTCTGGTGCGTAATAGCCAAATAAATAAAGAATATGAAGGAAGGAACATATTATACGTACTGCTGATTATTACATCACAACCAACCTGTTAATTGGTATTTATTGGGAGAAAAATAAATTAAACAATTTCTTGCTTACATTGGGAGAAAATAATTTCAGTACTGAATTACATGAAGAAATAAAATAAAATAATTGACTTAGCATTTCATCATGACTTTGATGGCCTCTTATTTTTCTTGAAGATTAAACATAATTAAAAGGAATTTTTTATATATACGTATGAGAGCAGCATATTATTTCTTTGGTGGTGCTGCTGATCATGTCCTTTCATGAACGACCTTGCTCCTCTGAGCCCTCTCCTTAGAGAGAACGCTCGCTATCCTACACATGCAAATTAATTAACAAAACAAAAGTCATTAGTATGTTAATTTATTGAATTTACATGATCATGCTACAACTTAATCATAATATATAATAGAGTAAATACCTCACAAGAGCCTCTTCGTTTGTAACCTCAGGACGAACAGGCTTGGATTTACCAGTATCAAAATTCAGTCTCGAAACCGGTTTCTTCAACAATGCCTCTCCAACTTTTACCAAATCATTCAAGTTTTGTTCTGTGGCAATATCTGCAGAAGCCAATGTTCCACTTAGCGTATCATCCTGCATATTCATTTCCGAGTACTTGTGAGCTTAGTTTCTCTACGTAATACCTTTTTTTTCTTTTTCTTTTTTTCTTTTTTGTATATAAAACGGTCATTTGATCTAGTGATATTTATCTCAATTTTATTGCACATTCTTTTGTTACCTGAATTCGAAGGTAATTGTCATGAGACTGAAGGGCCTGAAAAATGGTAGCAAGGTGGAAATCAACCATGTCACTACCTGCGTGGGTGAATATATCCACCAATGGAGCCGAAAAATCGGATCCGATAAGCCACCCAAAAGCACCCCACTCAGCCGCTTCCTTGGCGTCATACTTCTCCTCAGACGTTGTACCAGTCCCTAGTGATATGACTAGGAACCGCCCATACAACTGTTCATTTTCACCCATGGGCAGGAAGTCAGGGTTGCCCTTGTGGATTTGTTTTGTCACTTCGCTCATAGCGACCAAGGCCTAGTAAAAAATAAAAAATAAAAAATTAATACACACATATTAATGATGATCATATATATGAAATAATTCAGATTATGCAAATTAGGTTTTTGCAATTTGATCAATGTATACCGGGTTATTGGCAGCAACTCCACCGTCGGTGAGATTGAATTCTCTTGATTCACCATTTGAATTTGTGGATTTAAATTGATAGGTTGGAAGATAGTATGGGGCTGCTGAAGTTCCAATGCATATATCCGAGAGCAAAGCATCCAAGCTGGGTTTCTTTTTCAACTAAAATCATGACAAACATATATATACAAAATCAAGAAATGTTCATAAAAAGAGCACCATTAGAATTAAATTATGTAAATATATGCATGTGTTTCAATTAAGAGATAATTAATAAACAAACCTCATAGTTGGAGAAGATAACTGGTTGCAGCCGCTTTATATCAAAAGTTGGGATTACAACGTTAGTTAATGTGTCGCGCAAATGTTTGTCTCCTAATTTTTCCTTCAATATTTTATGTAAATACTTCCCGTCATATTTTGGTCTCCCTAGACCTTTCAAATTCTCCTCGACATTGATGAGTGGAGAACTGTTGTACGTGGATGAAAATTAATTATCGCGAACAATTATGTATACAAATGTGTAGTACAAAAATCTATGAAGAATTAACTATACCTGGATTGGGGGAAGATTTTAGGGCAGTTTTCGAGATAAAAAGGGTTGATATCTTTAGCAGCATACAAAGGACGGTTATTTTCATTTGGGGTAGTAAGCATGGCTGTCACAAGGCCACCTGTACTAGTCCCTGTAATCACATCAAAATAATCTGCTAGCCTTGCATCCTGACCATCCAGTTTCTGCATATAGCAAACAAGTAAAGCGAAAAGTTAGTTGCATTAGATTTTTTATTTTTTATTTTTTATTTTTTAAAAAAAGAATGAGAAACACCAACAAATTATAAGAAGTGGAGCAAACATGTTCGCTAGGTGTAACATCATGTGATGGCGTGACCAATCCACTTATATTATAACACGTGTATTTATTTAAAGTTTTGATTTGATCATTGTTTTACCTGAAGCTCAGACTCTAAGAAGTTGAGGATGGTTCCTGGGATAATCCCTCTTATTCCACCTCCATCAATACTAAGAACAGTAATGAGACTTCCATTTGTGGGAGAGTGAAGGGATGATCTTGTTTTCTCCATTAGTGATACAAGAGAAGGTTACGCACAAGACTTAGTTTAGGAACGAAAACTCAGAGAGAGAGAGAGAGAGAGAGAGAGAGAGAGAGAGAGATTAATTTGAAATTTGAAGAATCTCAAGAGGAAGGCGTTGTAGGTTGTAGGAATTAAGCTTTGGTTGTGGGGTTTATATAGAGCTCTTTCCCCCCAAATCTTGACCCCAAACTTATGTATATCTTGACCGAGTTGTTTCCGTTTACTTTGTCTTTTGAATAGTCCTTATATTGTTATTAGACATGCTTTCCTATCGTTTCAAAAGTCCAAGACATAACATTTGTATTGTGATTATTCATTTGTACATCCATGTTATACGTAGTTTGCCAGAATAAGTTTATGTTCTTCGCAGTGATCACATAAATCTTCCTACACAGAATTTTCTATTTTCTATTTTCTAACTTGTACTGCTGCAAATGCATTGATTCCTGCACGTGGAAATACTCATCACTATTTATACCTCACATGTTAAACACACCTTATATATCCCACCATATTTACCTATGTATCAGTGTACGTGTATATGTATATGTACGTATATGTATGTGTGTGTAAATGTACTTACATGTGTCTATATGTATAAATAATAATAATAATAATAATAATAATAATATTATTATTATTATTATTATTATTATTATTATTATTATCATCAATATTGTTGTTACTTGTTAGTGGATCGCGAGGGTTAGATAGACAACTATATACGTTAATATAGTTTTCAACACGTCTTTTCAATGCATTGTATGTATCGACAAGTTGCAATGTCTTTAGTGTGAAATTTCATATTTAAATGTAACTCACGATGTTAAAATGTAATATTGATTTAAAATCCCATATTTCAATTCACTTCCGTTGAGATTCACACATATGCATGTACGTCATCGTTTTGAAGCTTGAACATTCAAACCAAGATGAATTGTTCATCCTGCTTTCCTGTGTTTTGAATTTTATTTACCAATACCAGGTCCTCTGGTCTGGCCCAGCTTCTTAATTTGTCTTGTACAAGCTCTGGCTCACTTGATTGCGATGGTCCAGCATGGCTGCCTCCTCCTCGTGGGAAATGCTTACTTATGCCAACAAATTTATCAGATAAACCCAATCTTTAATGGCATGTTTATAACAAGTAATGACAGCCGCTCCCATTGAAGGATATTTCAGTATTTAATAATGTGATTGCTGATAAGACTCACTCCGAATACAAATTAGTCGGCATATTTAGTAATGTAAACGAAAAACCAACAAGGTCTATTCCGATAAAAAAAAGGTCTTGACTTGCAGACTCTTATGTTCAAACTCCAACAACACCTTAGACCATCTCCAACCATGTTAGGGCTAAACTCAAATTTTCAACCTCCAAAATACAACTATTCATGTATTTTCAGGACTCAAAACTTTCTTTCCTCCAAACTTGTAGACTCATAATTTGAGTCCGCAACTTTATTAAATTGTTTAAGAATGATTAACCCCTAAATTTTGTTTCTTGTTAATTTTTCTTGACATTATTTTTGTTTCAACACTCGTGATTTAATTTTCTAAACATTTTAACCTAAAAAAAATAAAATTCCAAAACATAATTGAATTTCACTTAAAAAATAAAAATAAGTACAATACCATACGTATGCCCGGAATAATTCGAACTCTTCATTGAATTATGTAAGTGTGTTTAAATTATCTAAGCATTTTTAAATAAACGACAATCATTAAATTTTGCCTTTGAGATTGCTTAAAATTAATCATGATTATTGATTACAAATATAGTTGTTGGAATATTTAAAATAAAACAAAACAAAACAAAAAAAAACAAACAAACAAACCAGCAATATCAAATTTTTGGCACAAAGTTGCTGTCCAAACAGTGTAACCAAAACTGGGCCCAGCAAACATTGTGTAGCACATGGGCTTCGGTCAGAAAAAAAATAATAAAAAAAGCAGATTTTGGGCCCACAAAATTATCAGTCCAGGCAAAAAAGGGACTGGAATTCCACCCAAGATTTGAGATTTCTCAAATTTCCACCCCCCAAAATACATGGGTTGGAGATGGTATTTATAGGCTAAACTCAAAATTTGAGTTTTCACCCCAAGGGTTGGAGATGGTCTTAGTAGTGTGTGTGTGTATCACAAACCCTCGTCCCCATCGCACCTTAAAATCTCTCACAAATTTATTAGATAAGATTAAAATGAAACCATCACTATCTCTATGGTCGGCCTTAAATGTATCGTGTATAATGTTACAACTTACAACAAAGTCAGCCCCAAAACAAAACATTTATTACAAGAAAGATTTTTGTTGAACAAGATATTGCACAACTGGACAGTACGTACACTAGAAAGAGTGATGCATACAGCTTTCGGATTGTCTTGCTAGAGCTTATAACTGGCAGACCAGCAATAATAACAGATTTAGAACCTGTACATGTTAATATATCTGATTGGGTGAGGGCCAAAGTTGAGAGAATGGAAGTTGAAAGCATTCTGGATTCGAGTGTACAAGGGACATACAAGATTCTTCTGGAAAAACTGCCCAGGCCTGTGTGTCTAAAACACCAACCGAAAGGCCAAAAATAAGTTGTGTATGACAGATTGAAGGAATGCTTGGAAATTGAGAAGGCCTCTGAAGAATCAGCGATTGCGAGTGGCGATGAGGGAAGATTGAGCAGTTCAAATCAAATGAACACCATTTAACAGATGTACCGTTTAGTACTAGTCCTTTGAGTGTTGGCGTTCTTCTTAGGCTTCAGGTTTGGTTTCAGTTTGTCGCTCTGGGAGTGTTTTCTTTTGGCTTGCTGGGTTCTTTGGGGTTTCTGCTTTGCGTTTAGTTTTTTCTTTCTTTTTTGCTTTTTCCTGTTAAGTTGTTTGCTCTTGGACAGGGCCAGTCCTAGAACTTAAAAGATGTGTAAAAATAAAAGTTTACGATATAAAGTTAGAAATTGGGTGTTATACATTTAACCTTTCAATATGAGAAAACCATAATATGGCAATCAAGGCAAGCGGTCTTGCCCTTTATAACTTGGCATGTGGAAACCTCGATGTTTGCAAGAGCCAAGGAAAGTGTTGTGAGCTCCCGGTACTAGTCCTTTGAAAGCTCACTGTTGGTCTCACAGAAACAAATGCAAATTTAACTTTAAGAAAATATAGCCAAATTGCAGATTATAAATACAATGATATGAGATCACAATTCGTGTGTGTGTGTGTGTGTGTGAGAGAGAGAGAGAGAGAGAGAGAGAGAGAGAGAGAGAGCTTCAATTTCCATTAGGCTAGTTGGAAGTAAAGAAACTTTATTCTAGTTGCATTCTTATTCAACGCATTCAATCACCTAAACCGGAAAGAACTTTGGACCTTTGGTGGTGGTGGGGTGGGGGAGCTCTGACTTTAAACCATCTTGACATATTTAGTGCGTTTGTGCCATGACCACGACTCAGAAGGCGACTTGGGCAGAGGTGGAAGCAACGCAGTCTTCCGGCGTTAAATGACTACGAATGACATGAAATAGGCTCTTTAGCTTCATTGGTTTTGTCTTCTCTTCTTCCTTTTTATTTCTCTTTATGATCAAAATAATCTCACAATCAGTTCTTCAATAAAATATCTTCACAATTAGGTTGAACTTGGACAAATATATATCTTCATCTTTTGACTTTCCAACTTCCTACAAAAGATAAATTCACCTAAGTTCACCAAATTAAATAAGGATTTCTGCAACTTACACACAATACCCTTCTTGGAGGTTACAGGAATACCAGGAGGAAGATCCATGTATATTTCTTCCTTGAGGTCACCATGTAGGACTGCAATTTTGACATCAAACTGCAACAAGGGTCAGTCACGATTAGCAGCCAGGGACAAGAGTACACGCACAGTATTGAGCTTTGCTAGTGGAGTAAAGGTCTCCAAGTAATTCACTCCATAGGTCTGAGTAATCTGGCCTTGTAACGGTCAATGAAACCGTCAGCCTTATGCTTCAAAGTAAACACTCATCTGCACCCAACAACTTTCTTCCCTCTTGGAAAATGGACTAAATCCCAAGTTTCATTCTTGTTCAAAGCTTCCATTTTAACATTCATGGCATCCATAAATTTAGGTTCAAAAAGAGCATCTTGCAGTTTAGTTGGCAAACATACACTAGATAATTGACATAAATATAATGCATATGACTTAAATAAACAATGAGTTAACACATAATGGCTATGAGATATTTAGATTTCGCATGTATATCGGGTGAGTATTGTACTTTAGATTTCCCACGAATAGTACATGGGGGCAACTGGTAACTTAGCATAGATGATTCATCAGTGATTACCTCACTGGGCCTATTATCACTACTTGACAGGAGCAATAGTAGGGCAGAAGGGGGTCTTGCATCGAACTCATCTACCCAAGAGTCACAAGAATCACTATCACATTCTTCAACCATGGGCGACTGGTCTGTTCCTAAATGTCGACCTGTTGTTTCATCACAGAGAGCATTTTCTTCATCTTTAGCGACAGGCGACCGATCGTTTCATCACTGAAAGCAATATCTTCACCTCTAGATCTTGGTAACCGATCCCTTTCTACAGCCTACTGGTCATTTGCTTCCCGAGAACAATATCTTCATATATAGTATTTTGGCCATCAAGTCCAAGATCATCCAATTCAAGACTCTCCAATTCACTCCCCATTCTTCCCCTGAATTGGAGAATAGAGAAAAACATAATATGACACTTCTTCATGGAAGGTTACGTCCAAAGTAACATGCACCTTCTGGGTATGAGGATGATAACACTTATAACCTTTCTGAGTAGAAGAGTAGCCAATAAAGACACAGCACAAAGCACAATGATCAAGTTTACTCCGTTGATGAGAGTAAACATGAACATAGGCAACACATCCAAAAACTTTTGGAGGTAACTTGGAGATGAAGACATGAGAAACATGGTCACCAAACACATCATGCGGAGTCTTGAAATCCACAACTTGGCTAGGAGTACGATTAATCAAATAGGCAGTAGATAGAACATCATGCCCCCAAAGATAATGGGGAATAGACATATCTAATATGAGTTAGTGGGCAATTTCAAAAAATTGTCGGTTCTTCCTTTTAGACACATCATCTTGTTGAGGGGTAAAAGAAGTTGTCGTTTGGTGAATAATACCTTGAGCATGGAAGAAACACGTCAAAGTATTATTCACATATTATCCTCCGTTATCAATCCAGAATACTTTGATCAGAGCCTAAAACTGAGTAAACACCATAGTACAAAACTCTGGAATAATGGAAACAACATCATGTTTATTTTTCATCAAGAAAACCCAAGTGAATCAGGTACAATCATCAATAAATATGACGAATCAACGAAATCCGTTGCAATAACTTGAGCCGGACCCCACACATCAAAATGCACTAAATCAAAAGGCTTTGCAGCTTTACTGTCACTTAAAAGAAACACAATGCGATGACTCTTGGCCAAAATATATGTCTCACACTTAAAACTTGACTCATCACAAAATCTAAATAAATATGGAAACAAATGCTTAAGGTAGCCAAACAACGGGTGTCCGAAACGACGATGCCATAACCAAATTTATTGTTTGTCTTTAATACTGCAACTTTGAACATTATTAACAACATGATCACAAACTGGTGCGGCAGACAATGTCAAATAATATAACCCCCTATCCGTTTACCATGCCCAATCGTCTCGTGAGTCTTGAGATCCTGAAAAAAATGATGCATGAGATAGAAAGTAACAAAAGCATTAAGTTTATCAAGTAATTGACCAACAGATAACAAGTTACAATCGATATTGGGAACTAGTAACGCACGAGACAAGGACATAGTATGAGTGAGGGAGATTTTGCCCTCGCCAGTAATTGAAAATGGCAAGCCATTAGCACTAGTTATGTATAAGTCATGGGTGTTACTAGACAATTCATTAAAAAATTTAGCATCATAAGTCATATGATCAGTAACACCAGTGTCAATTATCCAAGTATTAGACCCAATATATGAAATAGAGTTAGAAACACACAAATTTGCAGAAATAGCAGCAACCACACCAACAATAGAGTTATCACCCATTATTGCAGCGGAAACTCAACAGATCTCGACAGAGTACATAGTGGAACACAGCAGAGGCACAAATACGGTAGATGTATGAAGACGGGAATGGCATAAACATAGTACAGGGACGAACACACAAACCCATGAGGACACACACGACACAGGTAGGAAAAAAAATGGGGCTAGAACATGAGTGGGCACAACACACTTGTCATCAGAAAGTCGGCTCTGATGCCAAGTCAAAAAATATGGGTTATAATATTTTCTGATATATTTTCATTCTCGAAAAGGAAGTATTTATAATACAAGTACATCTTACCAAACTGAAATGGCTATATGTGAAATTTGCCAAAAGTGAGAAAGCCTGCCCCTTATTTCAATAGAAGACCATATAGGATCAAGTTAACACACCCAAATTTCATTTTCATTAAAAGCAATCAAACTAGTTAAATTTACAGTGATTGCCCAACAAAAAAAGAGGTAAAACAACATGACATTGAGTTCTGTGTTTTTTAAGATAAAGACGATATATTGTATTTATAATTCAAGCACAAAGGACCGTCAACCACAAGAGCCAATATAAATAGAGATAACCATACAAGGTTATTACAAATACAGTAACGCAGTAATCACAAAGGGTTTTTAAACCCTTTATGTGAAAATGGCACTTAAAACCCTGGAAAGTTCATATGGTGGCCACATTAATAAGCCTTTGTATTCATCAAATACTAATCAAACAATTACACCGAGGTTTAAACAAAAGTGAAGGAAATTATGTACCCAATAGGCTAATACTAGGAATTAACCTCATCTTCAGCTGTAAAGCTAAAAGGTATCACCTTACTTACCAACCAGCCTGATTGAATTTTGTCTCTCTTTTCAAAAGATTGACTTTCTTTTCTTTTGAATTCTTTTTTTGTTTTTTTGTTTTAAGAAAGTGTGGCAAGAAACTGGCAAGAGAAAAGGAGAAAAGTAAAAGAAAATTAAAATACTTTGATTTCTAACTCAAATAAAGAATGAACTAAATACTGCTGATCACAACCAACATGCTGGTTGGTATTTATTGGGAGAAAATAATTAAATAACAATATGAAATGAATTAATTATTAGCACTAATTTCACCATAAGTTGGAGTTGCTGGCAGCTATAGCCTTTCCATGTGGTGATCTCATTTCACGGACCTTCCTTTCCCTGGACAGAATTTGCGCCACCCTACATACGTGCAGATTAATTAAGAAAATTGTTTAATCAATATAACATATTTATGATCATGCTAAAAAACTCATATTAGATTGGTGAGTAATCAAATATACATACCTTATGAGAGCTTTTTCATTTGTTTCCTGATAAGCAGGCTCATAGATACCGGTTTGCAAATTCACCCTCGAAACTGCAGAGAGAATAAAGGTTGAACCCTAAAAGAAGGCTGATGATGATGGGATTAATTGAGTTTAGTAAACTTGAGCACCTAGCTATGCCTTATATAGAGATCTTTTCCCCTTCCAACTTTGACCCCAAATTTGTTTGCATGTCGCTATAACAAGTTTTAAGTTGGACCACTTCTGTCAGACTTCTCTAATTAAACACTGCATTCGTGTGGACGTGATTGATTATCTGAAAACAACTCTACTGAATTTAGTCTCGATTATATATATTTTATATATTTTATCAATCAATGAGCTACTGTCAGACTTTTCTAATTAAACACTGCATTCGTGTGGACATAATTGATTAAGTGCTTCGACCTAATTACTATTCACAATAATATTCAACATATTACATACGCGTACTGCTATAGGTGTTTTGTTGCACCATTAGTCCTTCCGCCAAACTCTGTTAAATTTTCTGTCAAAAGTGAGGGTAAATTCGGAAATTCATTCACAATCCTCCCCTTCCTCCACAACCCTCCATTGCCGCAACCCAATCCTTGGAAACACCAAAAAGGTAGCCATGAAGGACTAATTCAAGAGCATTTGAGAGACAAATTCAAGAAGGTAGCCAGGAAGGGTTCCAGGGGAAATTAATGCTATTAATAATACATAGATGATAAAATTAAAATTGTATTGTATGTATTTTTTCATCCAAATGGGCTGGGGAATGTGTTCATTTATTCAATTTTAGTGGTCAGTTTTTCAGAAATTGGGCTTGAAATTTGTTTGGATTTCTATCAAGCCTTGATGTTTTTTTTCTTGTAAGAAAAAAAGAAAGGAAAAAACGTGTTGAATATCTCGATGATATGTATGACGATGATCAAAAGTTTAAATCTATCGAAACTTTTGGGCAATCCTAAATTAATAATTAATCCCCAGACATAATACTAATTAACTCTAAAGCCGACCCATATAGCCAACCCTTATTAGACTCATGAGATATTGGTCAGTTTGAAATCAAGTAAGATACTCAGGATTGGGTGTGGGAGCAGAAGAAGGAATGTCGGTTGCTTTGGTGGAATCAGAGGAAGTATCAGGAGAGAGGTAAGGGGAGGGGCAGACATAAGTGCCATCAACGAAACGCCACCAATTTTGCCCAATAAGAAAGGGCTTGAGTTGACTTTCCCAAAGTAAAAAGTTCGATTCTGAAAGTTTATAGGAGGCAAAGGAGGAGATGTTAAAGGGGAGAGTGGGACCAGTGAGAGAAGAAGACGAGGAGGCTATAGTAGAGGCCCTGAGAGTAGAGAAAAAAAAAATGCCTAGGCTCTTGATACCATGTAGAAAAGAGATACTTTTTCATATATGCAATTCACGGGTACAGGCCTTATATACAGGCATAGGAGGTAGCTAAATGGTTTACAACGGTAGTGTAGTAATTACAATACAATAAAGCTATAATTAAGATACAATAACAATGTAACGGAAATACTCCTTGAATAGGTATAACTATGATTGAATGTCATGATGGTGGTGGTAACTCCCTAACAGTTCTGTATAGTTAGTAAAATACGGAACGGGAAAAGTATGGATAAAATATGTATGTGTTTTATTCGGCAAAGGATTTAAGTTGTTAGTTGATCTAGGTATTTTTTTCAATTGATTTCCATGCATCACTTGAAGCCTAAAGTTTCTGATACTATAGGGATGGTTTGATAAGTATGAAGAGGCTCCTTCAAATGAAGATGCTTCTTTTTCTTAATTTTGATAAGAAAAATATGTGGTAAATTAATTCAGTCAAAACTGCTCCATATATAGTCAAGACCTATCATAATCAATCATATTAACTTGGTTCAAAATACTTGTTTAACTTGTTTAATTGTTTAATTAGTGTTTAATCAATCAATTTACAACGTGGGATATATGTTTAATTTGTTTCAAAGTTCATTGCAATGCTTCAAAAAGAAAAAGAAACACTCTGGTGCGTAATAGCCAAATAAATAAAGAATATGAAGGAATGAACATATTATACATATATACATACTGCTGATTATTACATCACAACCAACCTGTTAATTGGTATTTATTGGGAGAAAAATAAATTAAACAATTTCTTGCTTACATTGGGAGAAAATAATTTCAGTACTGAATTACATGAAGAAATAAAATAAAATAATTGACTTAGCATTTCATCATGACTTTGATGGCCTCTTATTTTTCTTGAAGATTAAACATAATTAAAAGGAATTTTTTATATATACGTATGAGAGCAGCATATTATTTCTTTGGTGGTGCTGCTGATCATGTCCTTTCATGAACGACCTTGCTCCTCTGAGCCCTCTCCTTAGAGAGAACGCTCGCTATCCTACACATGCAAATTAATTAACAAAACAAAAGTCATTAGTATGTTAATTTATTGAATTTACATGATCATGCTACAACTTAATCATAATATATAATAGAGCAAATACCTCACAAGAGCCTCTGCATTTGTAACCTCAGGACGAACAGGCTTGGATTTATCGGTATCAAAATTCACTCTCGAAACTGGTTTCTTCAACAATGCCTCTCCAACTTTTACCAAATCATTCAAGTTTTGTTCTGTGGCAATATCCACAGAAGCCAATGTTCCACTTAGCGTATCATCCTGCATATTCATTTCCGAGTACTTGTGCGCTTAGTTTGTCTACGTAATACATTTTTTTTTGTGTATATAAAACAGTCATTTGATATAGTGATATTTATCTCAACTTTATTGCACATTCTATATGTTACCTGAATTCGAAGGTAATTGTCATGAGACTGAAGGGCTTGAAAAACAGTAGCAAGGTGGAAATCAACCATGTCACTACCTGCGTGGGTAAATATATCCACCAGTGGAGCCGAAAAATCGGATCCGATAAGCCACCCGAAAGCACCCCACTTTGCCGCTTCATTGGCGTCATACTTCTCCTCAGACGTTGTACCAGTCCCTAGTGATATGACTAGGAACCGCCCATACAACTGTTCATTTTCACCCATAGGCAGGAAGTCAGGGTTGCCCTTGTGGATTTGTTTCGTCACTTCGCTCATAGCAACCAAGGCCTAGAAAGAAAGAAAAATTAATACACACATATTAATGATGATCATATATATGAAATAATTCAGATTATGCAAATAGAAATCAAGTAAGATACTCAGGATTGGGTGTGGGAGCAGAAGAAGGAATGTCGGTTGCTTTGGTGGAATCAGAGGAAGTATCAGGAGAGAGGTAAGGGGAGGGGCAGACATAAGAGCCATCAACGAAACAACACCAATTTTGCCCAATAAGAAAGGGCTTGAGTTGACTTTCCCAAAGTAAAAAGTTCGATTCTGAAAGTTTATAGGAGGCAAAGGAGGAGATGTTAAAGGGGAGAGTGGGACCAGTGAGAGAAGAAGACGAGGAGGCTATAGTAGAGGCCCTGAGAGTAGAGAAAAAAAAAATGCCTAGGCTCTTGATACCATGTAGAAAAGAGATACTTTTTCATATATGCAATTCACGGGTACAGGCCTTATATACAGGCATAGGAGGTAGCTAAATGGTTTACAACGGTAGTGTAGTAATTACAATACAATAAAGCTATAATTAAGATACAATAACAATGTAACGGAAATACTCCTTGAATAGGTATAACTATGATTGAATGTCATGATGGTGGTGGTAACTCCCTAACAGTTCTGTATAGTTAGTAAAATACGGAACGGGAAAAGTATGGATTAAATACGTATGTGTTTTATTCGACAAAGGATTTAGGTTGTTAGTTGATCTAGGTTTTTTTTCAATTGATTTACATGCATCACTTGAAACCTAAAGTTTCTGATACTACAGGGATGGTTTGATAAGTATGAGGAGGCTCCTTCAAATGAAGATGCTTCTTTTTCTTAATTTTGATAAGAAAAATATGTGGTAAATTAATTCAGTCAAAACTGCTCCATATATAGTCAAGACCTATCATAATCAATCATATTAACTTGTTTATTTAGTGGGACATTAGTGGTTCAAAATACTTGTTTAACTTGTTTAATTGTTTAATTAGTGTTTAATCAATCAATTTACAACGTGGGATATATGTTTAATTTGTTTCGAAGTTCATTGCAATGCTTCAAAAAGAAAAAGAAACACTCTGGTGCGTAATAGCCAAATAAATAAAGAATATGAAGGAAGGAACATATTATACGTACTGCTGATTATTACATCACAACCAACCTGTTAATTGGTATTTATTGGGAGAAAAATAAATTAAACAATTTCTTGCTTACATTGGGAGAAAATAATTTCAGTACTGAATTACATGAAGAAATAAAATAAAATAATTGACTTAGCATTTCATCATGACTTTGATGGCCTCTTATTTTTCTTGAAGATTAAACATAATTAAAAGGAATTTTTTATATATACGTATGAGAGCAGCATATTATTTCTTTGGTGGTGCTGCTGATCATGTCCTTTCATGAACGACCTTGCTCCTCTGAGCCCTCTCCTTAGAGAGAACGCTCGCTATCCTACACATGCAAATTAATTAACAAAACAAAAGTCATTAGTATGTTAATTTATTGAATTTACATGATCATGCTACAACTTAATCATAATATATAATAGAGCAAATACCTCACAAGAGCCTCTGCATTTGTAACCTCAGGACGAACAGGCTTGGATTTACCAGTATCAAAATTCAGTCTCGAAACCGGTTTCTTCAACAATGCCTCTCCAACTTTTACCAAATCATTCAAGTTTTGTTCTGTGGCAATATCTGCAGAAGCCAATGTTCCACTTAGCGTATCATCCTGCATATTCATTTCCGAGTACTTGTGAGCTTAGTTTCTCTACGTAATACCTTTTTTTTCTTTTTCTTTTTTTCTTTTTTGTATATAAAACGGTCATTTGATCTAGTGATATTTATCTCAATTTTATTGCACATTCTTTTGTTACCTGAATTCGAAGGTAATTGTCATGAGACTGAAGGGCTTGAAAAACAGTAGCAAGGTGGAAATCAACCATGTCACTACCTGCGTGGGTAAATATATCCACCAGTGGAGCCGAAAAATCGGATCCGATAAGCCACCCAAAAGCACCCCACTCAGCCGCTTCCTTGGCGTCATACTTCTCCTCAGACGTTGTACCAGTCCCTAGTGATATGACTAGGAACCGCCCATACAACTGTTCATTTTCACCCATGGGCAGGAAGTCAGGGTTGCCCTTGTGGATTTGTTTTGTCACTTCGCTCATAGCGACCAAGGCCTAGTAAAAAATAAAAAATAAAAAATTAATACACACATATTAATGATGATCATATATATGAAATAATTCAGATTATGCAAATTAGGTTTTTGCAATTTGATCAATGTATACCGGGTTATTGGCAGCAACTCCACCGTCGGTGAGATTGAATTCTCTTGATTCACCATTTGAATTTGTGGATTTAAATTGATAGGTTGGAAGATAGTATGGGGCTGCTGAAGTTCCAATGCATATATCCGAGAGCAAAGCATCCAAGCTGGGTTTCTTTTTCAACTAAAATCATGACAAACATATATATACAAAATCAAGAAATGTTCATAAAAAGAGCACCATTAGAATTAAATTATGTAAATATATGCATGTGTTTCAATTAAGAGATAATTAATAAACAAACCTCATAGTTGGAGAAGATAACTGGTTGCAGCCGCTTTATATCAAAAGTTGGGATTACAACGTTAGTTAATGTGTCGCGCAAATGTTTGTCTCCTAATTTTTCCTTCAGCATTTTATGTAAATACTTCCCGTCATATTTTGGTCTCCCTAGACCTTTCAAATTCTCCTCGACATTGATGAGTGGAGAACTGTCGTACGTGGATGAAAATTAATTATCGCGAACAATTATGTATACAAATGTGTAGTACAAAAATCTATGAAGAATTAACTATACCTGGATTGGGGGAAGATTTTAGGGCAGTTTTCGAGATAAAAAGGGTTGATATCTTTAGCAGCATACAAAGGACGGTTATTTTCATTTGGGGTAGTAAGCATGGCTGTCACAAGGCCACCTGTACTAGTCCCTGTAATCACATCAAAATAATCTGCTAGCCTTGCATCCTGACCATCCAGTTTCTGCATATAGCAAACAAGTAAAGCGAAAAGTTAGTTGCATTAGATTTTTTATTTTTTATTTTTTAAAAAAAGAATGAGAAACACCAACAAATTATGAGAAGTGGAGCAAACATGTTCACTAGGTGTAACATCATGTGATAACGTGACCAATCCACTTATATTATAACACGTATATTTATTTAAAGTTTTGATTTGATCATTGTTTTACCTGAAGCTCAGACTCTAAGAAGTTGAGGATGGTTCCTGGGATAATCCCTCTTATTCCACCTCCATCAATACTAAGAACAGTAATGAGACTTCCATTTGTGGGAGAGTGAAGGGATGATCTTGTTTTCTCCATTAGTGATACAAGAGAAGGTTACGCACAAGACTTAGTTTAGGAACGAAAACAGAGAGAGAGAGAGAGAGAGAGAGAGAGAGAGAGAGAGATTAATTTGAAATTTGAAGAATCTCAAGAGGAAGGCGTTGTAGGTTGTAGGAATTAAGCTTTGGTTGTGGGGTTTATATAGAGCTCTTTCCCCCCAAATCTTGACCCCAAACTTATGTATATCTTGACCGAGTTGTTTCCGTTTACTTTGTCTTTTGAATAGTCCTTATATTGTTATTAGACATGCTTTCCTATCGTTTCAAAGTCCACGACATAACATTTGTATTGTGATATTCATTTGAATATTCATGTTATACGTAGTTTGCCAGAATAAGTTTATGTCCTTCGCAGTGATCACATAAATCTTCCTACACAGAATTTTCTATTTTCTAACTTGTACTGCTGCAAATGCATTGATTCCTGCACGTGGAAATACTCATCACTATTTATACCTCACATGTTAAATAATAAACACACCTTATATATCCCACCATATTTACCTATGTATCTGTGTACGTGTATATGTATCTGTACGTATATGTATGTGTGTGTAAATGTACTTACATGTGTCTATATGTATAAATAATAATAATAATAATATTATTATTATTATTATTATTATTATCATCATTATCAATATTGTTGTTACTTGTTAGTGGATCGCTAGGGTTAGATAGACGACTATATACGTTAATATAGTTTTCAACACGTCTTTTCAATGCATTGTATGTATCGACAAGTTGCAATGTCTTTAGTGTGAAATTTCATATTTAAATGTAACTCACGATGTTAAAATGTAATATTGATTTAAAATCCCATATTTCAATTCACTTCCGTTGAGATTCACACATATGCATGTACGTCATCGTTTTGAAGCTTGAACATTCAAACCAAGATGAATTGTTCATCCTGCTTTCCTGTGTTTTGAATTTTATTTACCAATACCAGGTCCTCTGGTCTGGCCCAGCTTCTTAATTTGTCTTGTACAAGCTCTGGCTCACTTGATTACGATGGTCCAGCATGGCTGCCTCCTCCTCTTGGGAAATGCTTACTTATGCCAACAAATTTATCAGATAAACCCAATCTTTAATGGCATGTCTATAACAAGTAATGATAGTCGCTCCCATTGAAGGATATTTCAGTATTTAATAATGTGATTGCTGATAAGACTCACACCAACACTGATTACAAAT